TTAAATTGCTGCATATTTGATGTTCTGTATGAGGCACTTTATTGCCTGTCTGTGCCCAGGTGGGCACGCCGTGTAGTTGTCCTCTGCTCTTCAGATCTGTTGCTACATGGAGTGTCTCTCCAGCCCATGCCAATAGCGGGTGATTTTGAGCTCCTAATATTTTTTTGTCCCTAGTCAGCAAGCACAGCTCTAACAATGTCACTATCAAGGGACAGGCAATAAGTCTCCATATCAATTATACCCTGTCAGCCTTTTCAACCACTTACAGCAATTAGAGTTAAGAACACACTGGCTAAATCTAAATGGAGCACAGTCTTTCTTCATGCCCCTTGCTTGCGTACTGTATTGCAGCTCCAGAAACAACACAAGTACAACAGGCATCAGAGGACGCACTGTGCCTCCAGCAAATGCCCCGGGCTGCTGGTGGAGGGCAGCCCTCCCAGTTTCTCTGGTCACACCAAGCAGATGTGTCTGTCCATGTTGCTGAGATGAACCACAGACGGCTGTTTCTCAGCAGAGGCAAGCTGCACGCATCCACAAAGAGAGGTTTTGAAAGTGATTAGTTTCTGCATATGTAGCTTTGTGCTTTGAATATGGAGATGAAGAGAAAATACTTAGCAAGAGATAGAAAGCCAGAAGGGAGCAGAACAAAAGAAACAGCAGAGTTCAGAAAAATCTCTGGAAGTGAGTGGGGAAACTGGCTTTTGTGGGGCAGGTTCAGTGCATGAGCTGGTAGCGTCGTCCATTGTGTAGTACGGTCTTTGGGCGTGAATTCTCGTGAATTTTCTTGAACAGGATTCAGTCTTTCAACATCCAAATGATGTGATGGAAATGGTAAGAGTTCAGATGGAGCTTAGTATTTCCAAAAGGTCAGAGCTCAGTGAAACTTGAATTTTAATCCAACTTTTGGTTTTCTTTTGGCTCGGAAAGCGTCAGAAGGCTCAGCTGTCTGTGTGCTACAGCCCCAGTGGTAAAATGCTGCCCTATAGAATCATTAAGGTTGGAAAATCTAGTCCAACTGTCAACCTCCCACCAACACTGCCCACTAACCACATCCCTCAGTGCCACCTCTCCACGTTTCCTGAACACCTTCAGGCATGGTGACTCCAGCACTCCCTGGGCAGCCTGTGCCTATGCCACTGCCCAACCACTTCTTCAGAAAATAAATTTTTCCTAATATCCAACCTGAACTCATTCTAAACTGAGACTGGCTTTGGTTAATTCAGCTGCTGTTTGCTAAAGTTGTTCACAGCCTTACAAATGGAATAAAATTACCAGGTGATGGATTCTTCCTGTGGCAATGTGGCAAAAACAAAAACAAAACAAAAACAAAACTATTCCCTGGAGAGGAATCTGCATACAGTGTCAACATCACTTAAAACTCCATTCATAACCTGTCTGGGGGAGCTGACAGGATTTAAGTCCCCCAGGCCTCATCTAACCTAGGATGAGTTGTATTTGCAGGCAATTACTAAGTCAGCATTAAGATAGTTTCATAGATTGTCCTGATTCCCTGATCTTCCAGTGTGAGCTGTTCAATACAGCTCTGGGCTATTTAGGAGAATTTGCTGGCTGAGAGCCCTCCTGATAACATCCTAATGCTTGTTTGCTGACTGCTCTTGAAGGTACCTTAGAAGCTTTTATAATTGATCTCTATAGCTTATCTGTGCAGTAAAGCTCCATGTTTCTAACTAGCATGTACAGATATATCTTGAATATTGGCAACAGCTAGAAAGATGAATGTATGGAAACCTCCCCACTATTATCTAGTGGATTGTTCCTTTTCTTAGCTGATTTTGTTCTGCTTCCTTCATCTCCAAAAAATACTGCACCGTGCCGTCAGCAAGCAGCTCTCCGGCAGAATGCATTCATTGTAGAAAAAATGGAATAATCTGAATAGCAATGAGATTCCTGTCTAGATTTTTAGCTCTCCTAATGCTGGCCTGTAGGAACACCTTTTGACAGTGATACAGGGGACCCATGAATTGGAATAACTGCCCAACTTAAATTTACATACATGGGGATTATTCTGTGCAAAAGGCAAAAAAACAAACTTTGATCATTTGGATCCAAACATGAGTTTCAAAAAAATCCCTTTAATTCTAATATCTACTTAAATGTTTTCTTGGGTTTGTGTTTTATTTCAGAAATATCTTCGTCTTGACTTTGTGTTATTCCCTATAGCAGTTCATATATAAATACACAGGGATACTCTTTGTGGATGGCCTGGAACGAACCAAGCTCTTCTCATTTTTGCCCTGAAGAAGCTGCTAAAAAGAGGAAATAGAATCACAAAGGTTGGAAAAGACCACCTTAAAATCACCCAATTCAACCATCAACCCATCTCCTCCATGCCCTCTGACCGTATGCCTGAGTGCCACAAAGCAGAAGCAGAACTTGGGGGAAAACTGAAGCAGGAATTGGGAAGGGATTCTCAGTTTGGAATGCTGGTTTAGAACTCTGTCAGCATATTCACTGAAGGTGAGGGAGGTTTTAGCCTTCATAATGTCTTCTTTTACCATGTTCATAAAATATTACTCTACTGCATTCATTCATCTTTGAAAACCCATCTTAAAATACCAAAAGGAAAAAAAGCTGATATCGATGGAGTTACTTACATTGATTTCCAGCTAGAAGGTTTATCTGAACAGAGATTCAATGTCTGAACAGCCATGATGAGGTCCATACAGCCTCTCACAACATCCAACATTGGGGAAATTAAAAGAACAGAGAATGCAAACCGTGGTAGTTCTCTTGTACACCTTCATAGCATTGTCTGCATTGTAGTATCACTGCTACTTGGGTTTGATCTGAGATCCCAGATGGGTTTTTCTGTCCTCAGTTTGCCTTGTTGCCTTCGAACCTGTAAAAAATGTGGGTAAGCTTGTACTGCTGCAAAAAGCAAGGGACTGAATCCCGGATGAGCTGCTGCATTTGAAAATGGGAGAATCGGTTCAGACTGAAGAGGAATGGATCCCTGCAGCTAATCCTGCCACCAAGTGCTAACTGTACCGAAGAGCAGTGCTTTGCTGCAGATATCTGCAGAGGTGTAGCAGGAGAAAGGAATCTCGTGTGAACTCCAGAGATGGGGTTTTGTGAGGACAGCTGTCATCCTGGCCAGAGAACGGTGAGTTTCACATCCTGCTGTACTGATGTTGCTTCCAGAGCAGAGCTGGCTGCCCACTGAAGAAAAACAAACTCAGCTGGAAAAGCAAATGATGTTTTTCTTTGGGGAAGTTCTCTTCTCATTTTTGTGTTTGCCATAGGCCTTGTTTGTTTATTTGTTTTTTGTTTTTTTTTTCTTTTTTAAATGAGAACCCATTTTTGAAGTTTTCCATTGCAACTTAAAATTTTGATGATCACAGTGAAGAAAAATTTTAATGAAAGAAACAAAAAAAGCCTTTTGATCAACTGCACTTAAGAGGTTTTGCTTTTTTTTTTTTTCACAGATCTTTTAATTCAGCTTCTAATCTTTTTTTTCTAAGGATTATGGAAGGAAATTCTTGCACATTTTCATAGGACCAGATCCCAATAACTAAGATGCAGCAAAATAAAAGATTCAGAATCCTTTTTTTGCTGGGGATGAAAGTAGTACACAAGATGAAATATGCATGTTTCTGGGAGAGCAGACTGCTTGTAAACTTTGCATTTTTACTATCTTTTTTTTTGCCCATTCTGATATAAAAAGAAGTAACACAGCCTTATATTCCTCAGACTGCTCGGTAGAGTTGATGTTCTCTCTTGTGTACCATTTATGTCTCACTTTAACACATCATATTTGAATTTCACTCACTGACAGAAAAATATTTCTTTTTGCTGAGCCTTTCACTTCCATGAACTGTTTTTTTCACTATGTGTGCCATACAGGTGATGTGTGACCTGGAGCCTGCAGCCTAAAAGAAGCTCTTGCTAAGTGGTATGTGCATCTATCAGCAGGGGAAATGCTTTCTTCCTTAGTCCCTCTCTGCTGTTCTCTGATATTTTGCTATTCCTCTTTTTAAGGAGCCCTATATAGGGTTTAGCTTCTTTATGGGAGAAACAGCAGCTTTCCAAATTGAGGAAGCTAGGTTGGGTTGAATTGTTGTTTCTTTCCCGTCTGAAAATAATACTGATGAACATGAAGCAGTTGGGAGCGCCCTCAGGAAATTCCCCTTTTTGAAATGATGGAGAAAACGAGAACTTCATAGCTCCTATGGAACTGAAAAGCTGATAGACAGCCATTGCTCCCTGGCACCTCAGAGGTCTTGCTGAACATGGTGGGCTCCCTGCTTTGTGTGGAATTCTTTGGGAGCAGGAGATATAAGGTTGGATGTTACCTGATGGGTTAATGTCTGCAGTTTTGCTGTGCTTTGTTTTAGGTGGCTGTTACATAAAGTAAAACAGAAGGATGTGATCTAGCACAGGAAAAGTACCCAACAGAAAGCCCCCAAAAAATCCAATAAAATTGCTATTTATTTTACTTCTTCTCCCCCTTTTTCTCTCTAGGGGAACTAAGCTGGATAAGGAGGAGATATTTTTGTGCAGAGACAGCAGGAAATGGGGAGGGTTGGGTTTCGAAGGCATTCGGATTTCTTTATAAACATCCTTCTTATAGGAATATTAATTTTTAAACATCCTGAAATCCCATCCTTCCGCTACCCAGCCTGGTGATGCCATCAGAAGCATTCCCCTTCACATTCCAAGGCTCTGCTCACAGCAGGGAAGAGGAGAACCAGCTCAGGGATCCTGCATCCAAAGGAAAGATTGTGTCAGGCGATTTGAATAACCTCTGGGGCCAAGGATTGCAGGTGACAGGGATGTGGGAACTCCTAACCTTGGAATCTCCCTCTGTTCTCCCTTACGTAGGGAGACTCAGCCTGAGGAACAGGTTTGCGTGAAACCATTTTGCATTGCTGTACAAAGTGCAGCAGGGTGTCACGCGTGTCTTCCTCCAGGGCTGCACCCACCAGGTCAGGAAGCAGAGCTGCTGATGAATCATGTTGGTGCCGACAGCCTCCTGCTCGGGGGTTGTTATCCGAGCTCCCAACTGACGGCAGCGGGGCAGCTGGGATCGGCCATCGTGCTTTCTTTCCTCTGCTCCTGGTGACATCTACCGGCAGAACAGCCTCACATCGGGCATTTGCCGCTGCAAAAAGCAGCTTCGATATACATCACGTTTAATCTATACGCCTAAATGCGGTGTAGAATTTATGACTGTAAACGCTCCCATATTTGTTTGGGTTATTCTGTGAGCACAGGGAGGCAGATTTGTAGCAGGAAGGCAGAGTTCTTGACAATTCTGAAATGAGAGCGGAATAAATCACTGCAGCAGGTTTTATAGGCAGCACTTCAGCAGAGCTGGGAGTAAATAGGGTAATGCTATCACTGCCTAGAAAGCATTTTCTGTGGCTTAGTGTAGCCTGCCGGTTCTGCTTTTGCTACATAAAGGCTCTTGTGGCAGAAGTGTCATGCTGTCAGAGGATGCTGCAAGCCGGGCTCAGTAAGGGAATCTGAAAAAGGACTTTGGATGCTTTCTGGCTTTGCTATGGCAGACTGTTTGTTTAGGAAACAGGAATGCTTTCCCTTCTGCTCATGGCTTGCTTTATGCCCTTTCTTTTTACGATCCTGATGCTGAAAATCAGTCCCCTGAAAGAATGGCCTTGAGAAGACCCCAGGCACACTACCCAATGTTGTAAGTGAAGAAAAAGCAAATGCTGACATTTTCTAGCCCTTCAGTGGGTAGAAAGTTCTATTTGAGTAAAGCACAAACTTAAAAAATAATAAATCTATTTAAGGATGATATTCCCATTTGCATCTACTGTCCATACTATTAGTGATGAAACATTACATTGGTCTATGAATTCAGAGTCAAAATCCATTTGAACTTTAATAATTTAGCTTTAGAAGCTTAAATTCTCTTCACTGGGCTTTGCCCAGAGTTGTCCTCTGCCTGTCCATCTCCCGTGTTTTCCGTGTAACCTTGCACAAGGAGCCATGGCTCTGTTTGTGAGATTTTTGAAGCCTGCTGGAAGGGGAAGCGTTTTCCTGCTGTATGAAAGTATTTAACTGAAGACGGAGCATGGATCTTGTCCCAGTTCTCAGTGCCTTGCTCCTGTGAGATCTGAACTCCCTGGGGATACTCATTCACAGAGAAGGAAGATCGAAGCTATATTCAAAATGCTTTCTAAATCTGGTGCCCCGAGAGCTGAACTCAGGCTTGCTCAGTTCTGAGCACTCACATCAATATGCACACAATTAAGCACAAGAGACCGCTCGTGTAATAAGTTCTTATTGATCCTGCCCTGGCAGAGCTGGAAAAAGAACAAAAGAGGCTTCTGCTACAGGTGTTCAGTGGGGAAAACCAGGTATGTTCCATCAGTGCAAGGACTTGCACAGGCAGGGCAATCCCAGTGGTCTGTGCTTTTAATATGTTCCTACAGGAGACCTAACGATGGCACCTGAGGTATAGCACTGCTAAGGATGGCAGAGGGACACAAAGAAAGTTCAGCTCTCTGTATTCAGGGGCGAACTGGAAAAGGTCAAGCACGATGGTGGCCCATGAACATTCAGACACTGAAAACATTGGAATATTGCCGGACACACGTAGTGACATGAGCAAGAAACAATCCTGTCGTAAAGAGATGGGATCATATAAGAATCCCTGAGTCAGAGAAAGCAAATCAAGATTGCAAGAGAAAGTTTGACTTTGGACTATTTTCTTATCTATGCACATTTGGCTTTGCAACTCAAGACAGATTTTTGAGGACACTGCAGGGTAAGTAGACCCTTTGGATTCTGTTTGTTCACATACGAATAATAGTAATTTAAATATGATCCTATAAAACTGTACTTTAGAGATACGTCTCTTTCTATTGAGCAGGATATTGCAACAGTCCCTGTTAGATCACTTTACAATATCAGCTTAAACTTGTCTTCTTTTAATTACAGCTTAGAAGATTATATCCACTAAGTGTATTTAATCAGGAAGTACTGATCCCAGAAAGACAAAGGTGCCCAAACAAGGAAGAGCTCCCGCTGTGACGCAGGTACTTTGCTGTAAGTGGAGGTGCTTTTCCATGAAAGTGTTCTCCATTTTACACTACTGCTCTTGTGTAAGAGGTGAAAAAGCCCCTGCTGCTCTGAGACTGCAGCTGGGCAGGGGAGGAAGGATGCTGTGAAGGAAAAGTTGTGAGTGATGATTGAGTGGAGAAACTCACCTCGAGCTGCATTACTAGGGTGTGTCTGTTGGCATATAGCCACACTGGAAAGGAACTTGAAAGCTTCAATGTTTTGCCTATTAGAATAATGTTTGTACACTGTATATTTGTTTTGGTATCTCAAAAGCAAGCCCTACAGATTTCCTGAAATTGTCTGTACCAATAGAGTACAGAAAAGGAGAGACCCCTGAGACAAGCTGTGATAAGCAGGAGTTTCCTGTGATCCCCACGCACTGCTCCATTCTCAGATAGGTATTTCCCACAGTTACCTACTAACAGGGAAGTACATGTTTTGCTGTGCTGAGACACCAATGACCCCCGGCAGGGTGAGTTATGCTGTACCCTCACACAGTTGGTTCTTTGGAATATGTTTATATTTCTATATTTACAGACTTGGACCGTGGGGTGGTTATGATATCAAGAACATCTTGTGAGCACGTTCAGCTATCCCTGCACGTGAGGAATTTCTGTCTGTAAACTTGACTATTTCTGTCAATCTTACACCAAAAATTGTAGGTTCTTCTGTTCATTTTCTCAGTGCAATTTGTAAGAAATTTAATAAATCATCTCTTGATAGACACTTTAAAGGTGGACAAGAGAACTTTTGTAGTTAGCTGTGCTTAAGTGCCTGCCTACACCCACTGTTCTGTTCTCAAATGCAGGGGAGGTGTAGGTCTGGAACATGGGCTGACTGATGTTGGGTGATGGCCAAATCTCAGTGCTCACCTATGCTTTGGTTAACCCGTGTCCTTGTTGCCTTTCCTTGCCACAAATATTTCACTTGCAATTCCCTCCTTTTGTTTCTATGGGTCATTTCTTGCTTTTTCTGCTACTGAACATTTCTCTTGTTGTCCTCTTGCAGTCATGAATAATCCAGTGACCTTCGTGTGGTGATGGAACACTTTCCCAGTGTAACTTCACTATGAAAGGATAAAGCACCCAAACTCAAAGACCAGTATTTTGGTAAGCTGCAACAATTAGGAAATTACATACCTGAAGGTACAATGATGTTTTTCATGCAGTGCTGCTCAGCAGCCGGAAGGTGGGGCACAGGCTTTGCTGTTTTATGTTGGTACACTAATGGCTGCACCCACTAATTGTGAGACTTACTAACTTTGGTAGGGATAAAGCAGCAGCTGGTTGCATATTACAGTTTAAATAGTAGAATGTGAGAAAAAAAAAATGAGTATTTTTGAAGCTCACTTTCAAAACTGAAACTAGCCAGGAGCTAGCAAAGGCTGTACACCAGGTGTGGTATAGGAAAGAATCAGGAGAGCATAGAAGAGCAGGAACTGAACAGGAGCCAACGTCGTGCAATGGTCATCTGCCTCTATTCCTGAAATTTTGGGCAATAATTAAATGAGCAACACTGAGCTGTACAGATTTCAGCATAAAATTGATGTATTTTCTGTACTAATAGCAAAGACCAGGCAAAATCAAATGAAAAACAAAACAAAATACCTGGATTTGAATATAAAGCAAACTTACCATTTGGTTGCAGTCATATAAACTAGGATTAAAACCATGGAAGTCCTCCAAAGATTTACTGTCAGTTTCAAGGTTCCCTAGGGGGCTTCAGTTTGAGGGTGACAAACAGAAAATGGTGATTTGTCATGACATGGCTACAACCCTTTGGCTTCGGTACCCACAAAGAATTTGTTCGTCCTCAAAGCCAGCGCCTGGCTTCAGTGCCATCAGAGCACACCTCTGTTTAGGAGTATGTAGTAAAAGAGGCATTCAGATTTCATGGAAAATTCCATAATTACCCATAAATATTCACTCCAAGGGAGCATTGCTGTTGATTTATCAAGTATGCTGCTATGTTAGCATATTCATCCACTCAAATTTAACTGCAATTGTCCACTGTGTAGTTTATAAAGTTGCATCCTCTGGATGTACTCCCTCCCATACTCTGTGAGTCAAGCTTGGTGTCCATATACTTTGTTGGCATTGTGTCCTGAATAGCAATGAACTTGGATCTGGGAGCTCAGTCTGTGGGAAGAGTAAGTAACAGCACTCCTCTAAGTCAGGTGAGGTCCTTCCTTCTCTGCTCACTGTTAATTATAATTGCTACCATCTTCTTTCCTTTTGTCAGGGCTGCAAATCCAGTTGGGAATCTGGTGAGCTGATCTCTGACAATATCAAATGTTCTAAGAACTCTTAATCGAAGGCAGCCCATGAAAGCACCCTGGGGAGCGCTTTATTCTCTGTGTTTAAAAGGACATGAAAGTACAATAGTTCTCTTTATCCTGGTACAAAGCAGCCAATTGATCTTGTCAGTTTAATAAATAATACAATTGCTTCCATCAGACACTGTTAATAGACTCCTGTCTGGACTAATGTTGTACAGAGTGGTACAAGCACAGAAATGCTATCTGCTGCGTCTGCCCTGGATTAACCACCTCCTCCTTTATCACCTAAAGGCAAAGCTTCCAGCAGCAGTCCCTGAAGGGCATCAGGTCGCCTGATCTTCATCTCTTTCTTCATCTTTCTTCATTTTAATGTGTGCTCTTGGAAGAGACAAGCTAATTTCCTGATGCGTCTGTTGTCTGGCTGCTTCCTAGCATTTGTACAGATTCAAAGAAGCTTGGGAATGTGAAATAGGCTGCAGGTTTGCTCTTTCTTTTTTCTTTTTTTTTCTTTTCCCCTCTGTAAGTCATTCACTAAGTAGTCTCAAGATGCAAAGTTAGGCTCATGCCCTCCAAACACAGTAAAGGTGCAGGAAGCTCAGATGCAGCTCCTGGAGTGTTACGAATACAAGTGCCAGATATCAGTAAGTAGGGGCCCATAGCTCAGGGTATGGGCTGTTTCTGGTTTAGAGCCAACGTAACCAGATTATGCCCATCTGTGGATTCTGAGTAGGTCCTGAAATTGTGCATTATCAGCATTGCTTTTGGGGGAACATCAGACACAAAGATAGCATTCATTTGGAAAGTGCTGGTAACATAAGCAGAGGAAGATTTTAAAAATTACACTGTCCTCGTTTTGGTTTGCTTTCATTTGTCTTCTCTCTACCATGTCGTGAATTGGTTCTGTGTTCTGCAGAGGAGGTGTGTTGTACACAGGAAGAGTATGTATCTGTCACTGGGAATAAGTATCCAGGGTTTTCAGGACCAGGAAGACTCAGTGGGCATGGTGGGGATAGGTTGACCTGATGATCTTAGAGGTCTTTTCCAGCCTTGGTGATTCTCTGATGCTATTTCTACAAAGTATTGAGTATATATTGTGTATACGTATGTTTCAGTCTAGTCTTTCATGTCAGAGTCTCATAGGTTGTCTCTTCAGGTCATTAGATGTGCCCTTGAGTGAAGCTCTCCTGCTCAGCTTGGCAGAGGTGACAGGGTGGTGAGTAAAGAGTTGGCTGATCCTTGTGTTTGCAAGAAGAATACTTCTGATCTTATTGCTGGAATCAGTTATTCCACTGTTAATGAAACTGTACTTATTTGTAATTACCTGAGTGCACAATGCAATCACCAACAAGTAAAAGAGATGCTAACATTTAGGTTCAGAACACTTTGGTTTTCTCTTCTGTGGAAGGTAGACAGTAACGGTGCCAGGAGTCAAAGGACAGATGCATAACTGATGTTGAGCTGTTCAGATATTTCAGGTTGTGGGACAATATGTGAAGGCAGCAGATTTGTATCTCAGCAGAGGGACGTTCTGATTGAGCAGTGTGGCCCCACAGCATCAGAAGTCAGAAGACCTGGGACTCTTCTCAGTCAAAGCAGAAAGCAATTTCTGAGAACTTAAAGCACCTCCCCTCACAGCCTTTTATCCTAGATCCCTGTGTGCTCAGGTCTGTGTTTGCAGGAACACTGCTTTTGAATCATTGCTGCTTCCCTCACAGAGATAATACTCTGCTGCCCTCCTACTTAAAGAACTCAAATGCTGTTTATTGTGAATTCAAAAACTAATTGAAATTCAGATTCCTTAAGTAGCTTTTGTTATTACTTCAGAAAGAAAAATCAGTCCTTTAAATAGTAAAATGTTCATGCTAAAAATCAGTTTGCTTTACTCTCACACCCATTTTGAATTGAGGCTGCTGTGTTTGAAGGGTAAGATCCAATAGTGCCTGTAAAGCTACAATTGGTGTTTGAAAGGCAACTCTGCTGCTCTTTGAGTGCTATTAATGCTTTCAGCTGTGGCATGAAAGACCTAGAACTCTGATCTCGGGTTTTGGCAAGTCAAGTCATTCAATTCAATTTCAGAATTGTACAGCTGTGAAGCTTTACAAGTTTTGATGTTTAAAAAGGCAGGGATTATTTCTGTTCCCTGTGATTTGTGAGCAACTGCTGCTTCTGTTAGCAAACCCAGGAAGAAACCTGTCTGTCTGATGTGCACAGACTGTTACTGATACCTGAGCAGCTATTACACATCTGGCTGATAGCTGTGAGATCAAAGCACTCTCTGATGCTTTGCTGCCCTTTGAGCACCTTTTAATTGGCCCTGAACCCACGATTTAGGATCAGGAACTGAGCTTTGCCTCCTTGGGTCGCTGGGTGAAGCCAGTTTCAGTCTGTAGGAGGCTGATTGGTGCTCTCAGCCTTCTTTCTAGTGGGGAAGGGATGGTGTTGTTGCTGCCACCTCTCCTGTCCTGATCTTGGTATAGGCAGGGAGCTTGCAGACTTTGGTCTTTCCCAGGGAAGTTCTGCAGCCTTGGCCAAAGCACACTAATGTGGACATTTTGCTGGGCATACTGCAGCTATCCTCTACAGAGAAGGTTTTGGGAAGATCTGACCAGCTTTCTCGATCCTAAAAGTCACGTCCTGAACTTTCTATTTCCAGCACTATGACACTATTTCATAAGCTCACATCTGGCGACTTCTTCCTGTGAGATCATCATTTACGTTCCTTTATTTTCATTAGAAATCGGAGGCATTCTAGTTTAGAATCATAGTCATTAAGATTGGAAAGACTGCTAAGATCATCCAGTCCACCCATCAGCCTGTCACCATTGTTTAGCTGTTGGCCAAAACCAGTGGAGAATGGGAGAGCTGCAATGTGAGTGCAGGCTCTGCTCTGCAATCAAAGTGGGCTCTCTGGGACACTGCACTCCTCTGATAAACAAGTCCAACCTACAAGCATGTCCAGGTTGCATTGCTGTGCAGCAGGCATCTCATTGCATAGGGCAGACTTTGCTTGTGGGGTAGGGCAGAGCATTGGCTCTGGTTGTTTCCACTTTCCAGTAGAGGACACTGCCAGCACTCTGCCCGCAATGGCTGTGTGCAGGGAGATGAGACATGGACAGGTGCCCTGCAGAAGGCAGGAAGCAAAGTCATCCTGCAGGATGGCACTCTGAGCAGAGGCTCGATTCACGCTATGCTGCTCACCTGCTGTTTGCAGCCAAGTCTAAAGGCACACAGATAGCAGTGCCTTGCAAGATTAAACTCTTCGATTCCAATCTCTTTAGCTAGAAAGCATGTTGTTTTATCTACTGCTTGTCTCTGTCTGTTTTAGGCTGCGGTGCCTGCTGTGAAAAGGTATGCATAATGAAATGATTAAATCATGCATTTTCAAATAATCAAAGTCACGCTGTTTCAGCTATGCAGCAACCCTGTTCCTCTTAGGAGACATCCAGCCAGATTCAGAAGTTCTTTTGGATTTTATATTTCTTAGAAGGACTCTGAATAAAAAAGATAATGTGGCTGAGGCCAGTTCTGCTCTCCTGTATGCCCAGGGCCAGATTTGATCACATTCATATTCTTCTTGTGTCGCCACACACAGAAAATAACTTTGCGGTCTGATTTTATGCTCTAAAGAAAATCACTCACACTGTGACAGCACTTCAAAATATTTCAATCCTTATTCTGTGTACGCTGCTGGCTATTGCTGCAGTGCAGAAAAAACACTTCACTGAATCAGTGGTTATGGGAAGGGATAAAGTTTCCAAATCACTCTTTTCTGTCTTGATTTTTTCACTAATCCCTTGTTCCTGCTGCATCTCTGGCTTGGAGACTCTCTCT